ACCCAGTCGACTCGAATTGATATCTCGAGTCGACTGAGGAAGTCTCAAGGCTCATAGATCCCCGACGACTCCGGTGTACTTCAATATATCATAAGGAAGCTATTAAGGATAAGAAAGAATCTAGTTGCTGACTAGGAGATGGACGGAATGCGAACCGACCAGGGTATTTTGGACATTTTCAGTAAGTCGGCCGGGGCATTTTGGGAACTTCAGGTAAATGTTTTGCTTCTATATAAATGAGCTGAGGTAACCCCAAAACCCTAACTCCCATTCATTCTATACTCTCCTCCATTACTGTTGCTGCTCTCTCAGAGCAGCTCTCTTCATCTCTCTCTCACATAGTGACTTGAGCGTCGGAGGCTCTACGCCAGAAACCCCTCCGACGTTGAGTTCTTGCAGGTGTTCTCACGGTCCAGCAACGGTTTGAAGGCGATCGAGGCAGACTTGAGCCCATTCACATCGGTTCATTTCAGATCTGAGCTTGTTTCCATTGATTCACCCCAGATCTGAGGAGAGACCCATCATTTTGGTGCCGTCTGTGGGGTTGGCAGAAGACGACTCGAAAAACTTAGTTCAACAGTTGCTCGACTTCGACCAGTTTGCAAAAAGGGTTGGGAGAAGACGACTCGAAAAACTTAGTTCAACAACTATGAAGCTGTTACAACAGTTGCTCGACTTCGACCAGTTCGCAAAAAGGGTTGGGAGAAGACGACTCAAAAAAATTAGTTCAACAACTATGAAGTTGTTAAAACAGTTGCTCGACTTCGACCAGCTCGCAAAAAGGGTTGGGAGAAGACGACTCGAAAAACTTAGTTCAACAGCTATGAAGCTGTTAAAACAGTTGCTCGACTTCGACCAGCTTGCAAAAAGGGTTGGGAGAAGACTCAAAAAACTTAGTTCAACATCTATGAAGCTATTAAAACAGTTGCTCGACTTCGACCAGCTCGCAAGAAGGGATGGGAGAAGACGACTCGAAAAACTTAGTTTAACAAACTATGAAGCTATCGAAATTGTTGCTCGACTTCGACCAGCTCGCAAGAAGGGTTGGGAGAAGACATAGTAAAACGAGATAAGGAACTAAGCAATTGAAAGAAAAATCACAAACGTAACCACGAAGAGTCGAAAAAATATAGAAGCAACGAGCAAGAAAAGAACAGAAATGATAACCATTGTATTAAAAGGAAACTTGTTACATTCGAAACTATCTCGACCTTTACATCATAAAATAGATTGAGATGGCAAGAAGCAAAGAAGTACAAAAAAAAAATCTAAGTCTTCTGAGAGTAGGCCGTCGACTTTTCAGCAGCATCTCCACCCTCATCGCCAACCGGTTTGGTCCCGGTACCTTCCCCCTCCCCGATCGGCCCTGTACCCGGCCGCTCGACTTCAATCTCCTCGTCAACCGACTCTTCTTCATAGTCGGCTCCACTCGGATCGACCAGTTCAACCGGGCCGAACAGGAGGGATGAAGGGACTTCAAGCTGAGAAGAAAACTCAGATGCATGAATAGCCTTGGCCTCGAGGCCAGTCCACCACGCATGACCTGGAGGGAGAACTGCTTCGCCCTTGTAACCGACAGGGTCAGGGAGAGTTTGCTTCACGGCCGCCCGGTCGATTGTCCCCGAAAAGTCGGGCTCGGCCACGACTTGCTCCCACGTATCGCAAGCGAAGTCGAAGTATTGGACTGCCGCGGTAACTAGCTCGTCAAGGAAGTCGGGAGAATCGCAGAACGCCTCGACCACAGCCTTGCGGTAATGTTGGAGGAAGACTGCCCCGATTGGGGACTTCAATAAGGTCCTACGGCTTTCTTGGAGCCCATTCTCCCTCTCGACCATGGTCTCATCTGTGACCTTGATCAGGTCGGCTCTCAGCTTCTCGGCTTTCCAGACAGCCGCCTCCTTATCGGAACGGAGTTTAGATAATGGTGTTGGCAGCCTCGAGCTCTTCTTCCTTGGCCTCGAGCTCCTCGCACTTGGCCGCATATTTTTCCCCCAAAACCTTGACGTTGTTCTGGGGAGAAGACGCCTCCTCGATCATGGAGGGAAGAATGTAGGCGAGAAGCTGAGAAGAAAAGCGAACAAATGAAATGATAAGATGTCGACATAGT